AGAGCAAGGCACACACTTGTAATCCCAGCGCTTGGGAGGCAGAGGGAGGAGGAGTGCTATGAGTTTGAGGCCAGCCTCAAACTCATAACACTCAAACAAAGGGAGTTTGAAGGCCAGCCTGAACTGCGTAGTAAAACTTTCTCAAAAAGACAAAAAAGAAAGAAAAAAGAAAAGAACACAGAGCAAGTGAGTCATGCTGTGTTTGAAAGAATGGCTAGATGTTTACAAAGAGCCTCATGTGGACAGACAGAGTCAGAGTTCAGGTGCACGTAAGTTCCATCGGCCCTGGCAAGTAGATAGTTTTAAAACCCTGTAACTAAAATCGCCAAGGAGAAGGAAGGGAAAGGGGCTGGGCAACACAGTCCCTACTGGGGCAGTGAATATTCACAGGTTCCATAAGAAAGGACAGCTAGCAAAGGTGACAGAGGGGTGGCTGGCGAGCACAGAGAGAGCCAGCAGTGGATACCATTGGGATAGTGCAGGGCTTCACGAAGAAGGGCCACCTTCACGGAATCCTGCAGGAGACTCAAATGGAGCAAGTACAGGAAAGCTATTTGGGGATTTGGCCACCTGGAAGTGATTTGTACTTTTGAAAGGAGATGTTTAAGAGGGGAATCAGGAGGAGCTGAGAAGATACAGAAGGTGAGCATGCAGGAGTGGTATAGTAGGTTTTCTCTCTCACAGAATATCCACATTGGAGCACTCAAATGTTTACATCGACATATGTCACGTTTATTTCACATGATGCATGGAAGCTGCTAGTGTCTGGCATAAAGATTAAATTTTTCAGAGCAATGGAGTAAGAAAGGAAGTGGGGTTTTGTGAGAAGGGAATTTTCCATGCCATTTGTGTACTTTCAACCAAGAATCCAGTAAATTTGCTGGGCACTGCCACCATCGCGATTTCAGGTCTTGTGTACATGAATTTGAGCAGGACCATGCCATTCCTATTTCTTTGTCCTGGGTCATCATGAGTAGTAACTTTCTAGGGCTCTTAATGTCTGCATCTTAGCATTTGGCTGAAGAATAACAAAGACTTTTCTCTGACAATTCAAGGCCTTCCCACGCACTCCAAAACTAGAAATTATTCAGGCAAAAAGACTCAGGACCCCTGAGACTGTTTAACGATTGAGTCTTTGGAACCATGAGTAACAAAGGACTGTGACCACAAGCAGTTGCTATTCATCTTCACTGGTCAGATTAGTCTGGGATTTTGTCAGTCAATTCTCAGCTGCTAAGCATAATAATTTCCTGAATCTTGTGCAGCAATTATAGGCTGAGCTCTTAAGTACAGAGGGGATGTGTGCCAGGGTGGGGTGAACAATGAAAGGGAGGATGCTCCTTATTTCCTAAACTCTTAACAAACTGAGTAGGAAATACACATTACATGTGCATCATTTTAGCTTAAAAGAGGGGAAATATTTTGGAGATATTTGAGCAGATTAACAAATCGTATTTGTATACATGCAACTAAAACAGCAATTTATCAGGTAGAAGGCAGATGGGGGAGTGCAATGCCAACCTGTGTTTACAGTTGGATTTCATTGATGATGAAGTGCTGTTTATTCAGGGCCAGCCTAGCTCGTCAGTAACAGAAGAGCCACGCAGCACATGACTCCCTCTGTAGCTGGAAGACAATAATAAATTATCTCCTATGCAAACAGCACAGGCGTAAAAGCAGAACAAACAGACTGAGCCTCCCGGATGCCTGGAGATTCTCACTCATTCCCTTGTTTGATTCTGTTTTCAAGATAACACTCTTGACATTATTCTAAAGCTGATAAAATTGAGTCTGGCTTGGACAATTTTATTAGGATACACAGTGCATTGTTGCTGATTATCTCTGGGTGTTGCTACACAATGTAAATACTTTGTTTCTTGAATTTGTCTAAGTGTTTCATAACATTTTTTTCTTTTATCAGTACTTCATTTGATCTTGTGGAATTCAGGGTCACCTTGGGAAGACTGAGATGGTATTTCCCAAAGGACCTAGATCATAAGAATCGCTTAAGGAACACAGTGAAAACACAGATTCTTGGATCTTGCCTCCAATGTGGTAGATAAGAATTTCTAGCAAAACAACCCAGAAAGACACACCCAGGGTGATGTTTATGATGAGGGCGGTGGAGGAATCAGGAGCAGAGGACAGGAGCCAATTTAAGTCCCATGACATTGCTGATAGCAGCAAGGACTGGACAACAGGAAGGAAGCCAATTGATAAAAGCATCCTTAAAGTGAGGTTTATAGATTTCAGTGTGCCCGGAATCACCCAGGCTGGGCAGAAAAGGCAGACCCAGATTCAGCAGGCATGGGGCAGGGCCAGAGACTCTTTTCTAACAAGGGGCATCACGTGGCCAGTGTAGCTGGACTCGGGTCCCATAAGGTTCTACAGCCATCAGCATTACACAGAAGAATCCAAACAGATTGGGGTGCAGTCGAATTTCTGGAGAGCAAATGGTCCATGAGTCTGGCCTAGAATAATGCAGATTCTTTTGACTCCTAATCTCATGCTCAGATACAAGTAAAACCTGCCCTCTCTGTTTAAGTGGCAGCCAGGAATGTAGTGATAATTGTTATTACATGAGAAAATCTCCACTTGTGTGGCTTCTTTCAAAAGTTTATAAGTACATTTGGGGAGCAGATTATATATATAATAAAAACTATTCAGAAAGGAAGATGACAGAGCTTCTCACACCCATGTCTTTTACTTCCTTATGGGTGATTGATTCAGTCCTTGATTTGTGCTGTTGGGAGTAAACCCATAAATTCTCTCATGCGAGCCATGTGCTCTACTCCTGAGCTATACCCACAGGGATGAATTTGTTTTTGAAAAACAGATACTTAAATATTGTTATGAGGCCATCTGGACAGTAAACTAAAAGCATGAGAGCTGACAGTATACTTTTTGGAGTACATGCTTCCAAAAGTTATTGTATATGACATTATATACTTTATTACTAAGTCTGTACAATGGACTTTTGGTATTCATCAGCAGTATTTCTGGAGGCCTTTGTAGATTTCCACATATGATTCCTTCTGGCCTGTTACAGTTTATGTCTGGATGCCCTGCCAAAGCCTCATTCGGTCCTGGGGGCTGAATCTAGAGTTTGTGATTGAGACATCATCTAACATAGGGATTAAAGGTGTGAGTGCTGCAGTTGTCCTAGGGTAGCCTGCATACAAAATAAGCAACAAGAGACTTACTTCCTCCTCCTCTCCTGCTGCTTTTTCTGTCTTCTGTTGCCATGAACAGTTGCCTCTCTGCCATGCCACCTTTCCTGAATATGGACTGAAACCTCTACAAACTGTGAGCTAAATAAACTTTTCTCCTTTTAACTTTGGATATCAGAGATTTTGTCTCAGAGATGAGAGAAAAGTAACTAGACATGGCCTAAAAGGCAAAGCATCCTGGGAAGATGCCTAATGGCCAGCTGCCATGGAATAGACAGATAACAAGATGCCTCAAAACGGAGAACCTGGTGACCAGCAGGGCACACATTTATCAAGGATCTCTTGCACAAATACTGAAGCTGTTGGAAGTGGCTGGTCTAAGCCACAAATAATCATATCCATAAGCTTCAAAAGTTATCAAATACAAACATTAATGTGATCATGGAAGACATCTGTAATTGTGTGCCTTGCCCTGCTGAGTTCTTCACAGTGTTTATCTGAGAAGGGATGCATGGAACTTATGTGTTCTACTATATATATTTCTGTATTGTTTTAATATTTTGTCAGGAGCCAGCATAATTCTGTTTACTGCAATAATAATCAGGAAGAAATCTATGGAATTCTTAAAGACCTTTGACTAGATGTCATGTTTTTAATTGACAATAGGTTGTTGATTGATTGTACATGCTTACTATATATACACATACACACAGTATACACACATGGGCACACACAAACACAGTTATTGCTTAATATCTGTGGGAGATTGATTCTAGGACCAAGATTGAACATCAAAGTTTCTTATGTGAAATCCTCTGGCTATCCTCTCATATGACTTATAACACCTAATACAAATTGCATGCTATATAAGTAGCTGTTATATTGTTTAGGGAATGATGATGAGAAAAAACCTGTTTATGTTGAGTACAGATGCAGGTTTTCTCTGAATGTAGACAGTAAGCTGTGCTTTGGACTCACATATATGTTGAACTATGAATGCGGTAAGCCAACTGTGCACTTACGTAAGCTCTGACAGAGGACTGTGCCATGCGTAGGTTTTGCATGCGTGTCTTCCCAGTCATTTCACAAACACTGCTTGAGCATCTGGTCTGTGCCGGGTGCTGTGATAGAGTCTGGCATGTGATCATCACTGAACTTCTACAAAGAAGACAATTATGTGGATAAGGTGATTCTCCTACTGCAGTCAATAAACTGTACAGAGACAGTACAGTTTTTGTAAGTGATATAAGTCCCAGATCTGGGTAGTTCCTGGAAGTCTTCATTTCTCCATAGCTGCTGCATATAACAGATCTGATGTCACAATTCTTTAAAGATTTCTCCTGGGCTTCTACACTGGAATAATAACTATTCAGTAAATTCAGCTAAGCTCATCTTTAGAGATTTCTGTTTAGAGCTAATAAGCATTAGAAAACAAGGTTGCGAGAAAGAACAATAACTGTCTTATTTTTCTGATGAGCATCATCATGGTCAACATTTTTATATAGGCCTCGTAAATGGTAAGAACAACAAATATGCATTGTAAACTATGCTTGAATAAATATTTTTAAAAATAAATATTTTTAAAAGGAAATGTTAAGACATGTTTCTTATCTCAACTGTTAGCAATGATGGCAAAGAATTCTTTTTTCTTGGTCTTGGAAAACAAATAAAGTGCATTATAAGCCATAGCGTGAGAGCTCAAGGCAAAGTGCTCCTTTCACTTGTCTCTCACAGTAAGTTCTATGACACATCAAAGGACTGAACTGATTTGCGGGACAACACTCCCTAGCTAAGCAATTTTCAACATCAGATTTCCTCTTGTCCTTCCAGAACTGTGTGTTTCACAGCAGTATCACCAGTGATTTGAAAGCATTTGCAGAGAAGTTCAGCTATGATGCCCTCATCCTGTTCTCCAGCTACCTGTCGGAGGGTCAGCAGCCTAGACGACAGATCGCTGTGTACTCTCAGAACCTGGAGCTGTGCAGTCAGGTGAGCCCTTCCTCCAGCCCTAAATCATTTCAGTGTATCCCAATCTGCTAGCTTTTAGAATAGCTGATGGGAGAGGGGAATGCATTTGTGCCTCACAAGAAATTGCCCCAAGAGATCAGTGTTCTTGGAGATGAATTTTAGGAAATATTGGCGGTATACTGCACATTGAGTCTTTTAAGAGAACCTGTATTACTTCATGTCCTGTGTCTGCAGCAAAAGATCTAACAAAGTACCTGAGGTGGGATACTTTATAGAGAAAACAGGTTTATTTAGCTCACAGCTCTAGATCCAAGAGCGTGGCACTGGCATCTGCTTGGCTCTGATGAGAGCCATGGTAGACTTCTCACCAACAGTGAGAAAACCCAAGAGGTCACATGGTGAGGCAGGAAAGAAAATAATGAGCTGAGATCGCTGAGCTTGCTTTACAGCACCTACTCTTAGGAAAACTGAGCCAGTCCCATGAGTTCTTCACTAGACCCTTCTGAGGGTGTTGGTCCTGTAACTTAATCATCTCTCATGAGGCCCTCTCCTAAAGTTCTACCACATTAGCATCACCACACTGAGGATCCAGCCTCCAGCACAGGAACCCCTGGAGTGCACACTAATCCCTGTCTAATCCAAAGCACAGTCCCTGAGGATTTCTTTTATAACTGACTCCATAGAGAGATTAGGACTTTCTCATCCAAAAGAAGGCAAATCCTCCTTTAGGGCTGTTTCCTCTGGGACTGCTTTTGGACTACAACAAGGCATAGTCTCTGTCTCAATACCCACTGGTGCTCAGGGTTTAGTAAGTGGTGACTGATGCTTTGACACAAGTTTCTCTCTAAGTACCAAGATTCTGACTGAGTCAGCAGTTGGAGCCTTGTGCTGATGGCTGAGTCTTTGATCTGAAGGTCTAGAAAATTGAAGGAAGAAAACTTATACAAAAATGAATCAAAATAAGCCAAGGGAAGTTGGGCTAGAGATGTAGCTCAGTGGTAGAGGGTTTGATTAGCATGTGAAAAGTTCCAAGTTTGAATCCAACATTGCAAAAGCATCTACTGCATAGTCCAAGCTGGGCAGCTAATATGGGAACATGCATGACCCATTGCCCTATGACCCCCAGAAGCACATCTAGCCTCATCTTCTGTCACATCCACTCCTTTCCTTCTGTGATTCTCCCTTCATCACAGCTCTGTTAGCACCTGCCTGTACCTGCTCTGGCCTTCCTTGTCCTTTCTCATGTTCCCCAGCCAAGAAGATGCCCTGGCCCTGCCGCACATGTGTCTGTCTCCCCGCTGCCCTGTGCCACACATGTACCACATCATCAGCCTGTGACCTTTCAGTGCTTTATTCTGTACTTGCTTTCAAAATGGGATCTTATTTTTGGTCACTGGTTTTCTAGGGACAAAACTGAGGAGGTTACCCAACCATCTAAAATGGTGTTTTTCAAACCACCAGCAAACTCCTTTTTTCAAACCAATTTGAAAATACGTTCACTTCCAAAGACGTAAGTAGAGGAGTAGGTGAGAGAGGAAAAAGCCCTTGAGCTCCTCTCTTCCCTCACACACCAGCTCTCCTCACCCCAGCAGCACTCCTGAGACTGCCCTAGAATCTCAAGGAATGCACACAGGACCCGGATGAGGCCAAGGGAGCCCCTTTGTCTGTGCTCATCCAACCGCCTAGGAATCTGCCTCTGCAGTTCAACCACCTGAGTTCAGAACAGTCCCAGCACCTGTTAGTGGTGTGCTGGTGGATGTCACTCAACTTTCGTGTGTCATTTCTTCATCAGTAAAATGCAGATAACAGTAGTCCCCATCTTGTATGATTGCTGTGGGGATTAAAGGAGGTGAAGGTTGTAAAGCTCTTACACTTAGAAAAGCTCTCAATAATATTTATTATTATTATTATTCTGTGTGACTCTGTGACTATTGCTATCTTTATTGATTTTTACCCCCCAGTAATTCTCTAGGGTCAATTCAAAAGCCCAGTGTGGTAAAACATGCCCAACATTCGCTAAACATTACAGAGCTGAGGCCCAGTTCTGGCTTTGCCCTGTCTGTCCTGATGTCCCCTGCTTCCCAGGTGGCTTTGTTTATTTAGGGCTCCATGTCCTTTTCCCTGAGGAGGAAGGGACAGATGAGCCCTGTGTGCTGTTGGGGAAGCTCAGCGCTGGAAGGACTTTTTTCCTCCCCTCTGTCTCCTTTGCCTTGTGTGTCCCACTTGCCTGTTCTCCCGTTATTCCAACCTTGGTCTTGAGTTCTTGTCGGTAACCAGCATCAAAGCTGCTTTTTAAAATCCAAGTTCCACTTCTGTTGGAAGATGGTGTTTTATACATCTAGGAAAGGAGTTTAAGTGACTCTAAACTTTTCTACCCATAATTTTCAGGAACCAGTGAAATCTAGCAACTGTATTTTTAGTTAAATGAGAAGACAGTTTGATAGGAAAAAATTTTGGTAGCAGATTAAATGTGACGTTCATGTCTTATATTACACGATTCTCAGCTGTCTTCTTTTAAACAAATGCACACAATTTAATTTTATATTAAGAAATATTTAAAAAGACAAACTGTAGGCTGGGTGTGGTGGTGCACACCTGTAATCCCAGCACTTGGGAGCCTGAGGCAGGAGGATCATTGAGAGTTTGAGACCAGCCTAGGCTACAAAGTGAGCTCAAGGTTAACCTGAACTGCATAGAGAGACCCTGTCTCAAAACAACAACAACAACAACGAAAGGCAAACTGCCAAGCACAAAGATTGCGTGAATTTCACACCTGTAATCCCAGCACTCTGGGAGGCTGAGGCAGAAAGATTGCAAGTTAGAGTCCAGCCTAGCTAATTTAGTAACTTAGTGAGACCCTATGTCAAAATCAAAAGGGCTGGGAATGTAGCTCAGTGCAAAGGCCTTGCATTCATTTCTCAGTACAGAAAGAGAGAGAGTGAAAGAGAAAGAGAGAGAGAGAGAGAGAGAGAGAGAGAGAGAGAGAGAGAGAGGCTGCCTGAGCACTAGCACAAACTGTTGTTCCTCCCAACAGATTTGCTGTGAGCTGGAAGAGTGTCAGAACCCTTGCCTGGAACTGGAGCCCTTTGAATGTGGCTGTGATGAGATCCTGGTGTACCAGCAGGAGGATCCTTCTGTGACTTGTGATCAGGTGGTTCTCCTTGTCAAAGAAGTCATCAATAGGAGGTGTCCAGAGATTGCCTCCAACAGCCGGACATCCTCAACGGAAGCTGTGGCTGGCAGTGCACCCCTCTCCCAAGGCTCTTCTGGGATTATGGAATTGTATGGCTCTGATATAGAGCCAGCACAGCCCAGCTCTGTGAATTTCATAGAGAATCCTCCAGATCTCAATGAGTCTAACCAGGCTCCAGCGGATGTCAACATGGACCTTGTTAGTCCAGACAGTGGGCTTGCCACCATTCGGAGCAGCCGGTCATCCAAGGAGAGCTCTGTTTTCCTCAGCGATGACAGTCCAGTGGGAGAAGGTGCTGGGCCTCACCACAGCCTCCTTCCAGGCTTTGACTCCTACAGTCCCATCCCTGAAGGGGCAGTGGCAGAAGAGCACGTTCGGTCTGGAGAACACAGGGAACACTTTGGCCTCTTCAGCTTTGACTCAGCTCCCATGGCTTCAGGGCAGTCCCAGCCATCTTCCCATTCTGCAGACTACTCCCCAGCAGATGACTTCCCCAACAGCGATTCGTCAGATGGACAGCTTCCCCCTGGGCCAAAAGGACTTGATGAGATAGGAACCAACATGTCCAATTATTCATCCAGTTCACTTTTGTCTGAGGCTGGCAAAGACAGCCTGGTGGAATTTGATGAAGAGTTTGTTCAGAGACAAGAAAGTCTGGTAGAAAATGCTGAAGGAAGTTTAAGCCTGAAAAGTTTTGTGGGAGATGAGTCTCCTTCACCAGAAAGGCTGGACAGTATTGGAAAGCAAATTCCACCCACACCTACGAATAGCTTTGTGGGAAGCTCACCATCCACTGAAGATCCAGCCATGCTCTATCCAGAGGACATAATTCCTGAAGCAACAGACATGGGTCACCTTGGGCCACCTCAGACCCAGACCCGGTGTAGTAGCTGGTGGGGTGGTTTGGAAATTGACTCTAAAAATATTGTAGATGCATGGAGTTCCAGTGAACAAGAATCCGTTTTTCAGAGCCCTGAATCATGGAAAGATCATAAGCCCAGCCCCACTGATAGAAGAGCTTCAGATTCTGTACTTCAACCAAAGAGTCTTGACTTCCCAAAATCAGATCCCTGGGAGTCTGAATTTGGTCAGTCAGAACTCAATAGCAACGACATTCAAGATGAAAAGGAGGAAAGCTTGCAGTTTCCAAACCTTTCCACTGAGAAGTCACATTTACCAAATGCTTCTCCTAAGGGAACAAACCACCTGATAGAAGACTTTGCTGCTTTGTGGCAGTCTGGTCAGTCTCCCACAGCAATGCCTGAGCCCTGGGGAAACCCTACAGAGGATGGGGAACCAGTGGCTGCTGTGTCATTCCCAGCTTGGAGTGCATTTCATAAAGAAGATGATGCTGAAGCTTTAAAAAATACCTGGAACCTTCACCCGACAAGCAGCGAGACACCTTCTGTGAGGAACCCAAATGAGTGGGTGATGGCGAGAAGTGGGTATTCCTTTCCTTCAGAAGACCTATTGGACAGTTCAGCCAGTAAGGCCAACAATGAGGCAGCTCCAAAACTCTGGGGCAAGAAGAACAATGACTCCAAGGATAATATCCTTGTATCTAGAAACCCCAGTTCCAAACTGGAGCATGCATGGAATAATTCCCAGCCACCAAGGGAAGATCAAAACCGCTTGGTGGATCCTAAAGTGAGGGGGAAGGTATATGAACAGGTAGATTCCTGGAACTTTTTTGAGGACACTGTTAAGAAAGGAGGGTCAGACGTCCTAGCTCCTTGGGAGGATTCCTTCCTAGCGTACAAATGTTCTGATTATAGCGCATCTAATGTAGGAGAAGATTCAGTGCCTTCCCCCTTAGATACCAACTACTCCACCTCTGACTCTTACACATCACCAACATTTGCTGGGGAGGAAAAAGAAACAGAAAGCAAGCCACTTACTCAAGAGGAAGTTGGTGAGTCCAAAGATACTGGCTCGACTGTAGAGGAGGCTTCAGTTCCTCTGCAGTCTTCGCCGCAGCTTCTTAGAAACAGAATTGGTTCAGGTCCTGGGAACCTAGACATGTGGGCTTCCCCTCTTCCCGAAGCAAGCAGAGCTCACGACCCAGATAAAGATGCTCTCCAGGCAGAGAACACCTCCACGGAGGACGGTGTCGGGGAGAGTAGCCAGTCCAGCTACGATGATCCCAGCATGATGCAGCTGTACAACGAGACCAATCGGCAGCTCACACTTCTGCACAGCAGCACCAACTCCCGGCAGGCAGCCTCGGACAGCCTCGACTTGTGGAACAGAGTGATTCTGGAGGACACGCAGTCCACTGCCACAATTTCAGATATGGATAACGACTTGGACTGGGATGACTGCAGTGGGGGAGTGGCGATGACCAGTGATGGCCACGCAGAAGGATACGTGACTGAGAGTACTGAACCCGAAACCCGATTTTCAGTGAGACACCTGGAACCATGGGGCACGGAGTACCAGGAAGAAAATCAGATAGATTGGGAGCTCACTGCCTCCGCTGAGCACGCCAAGGATGCTGCTCCCAACGAGTATCACACACTGAATGAGAAAAATGGGCAGCTAATTGCAAACAGCGTTTGGGATTCTGTCATGAGAGATAAAGATGCATCATCATGCAGGTTACCAGGCCTCCCATATATGACAGATTCAGAAGCAATCGACTTACCTTCTGAAGGTACCAGCCATTCAGCAAATGCTATGGAGAGCTGCATGGCAGATGGGTTAGAAGCCTCTGGAATCAGTGAGTCAGCAGCATGCACACCTCACCCTGATGACGAGGACACATGGACAGGAATGCTGCCAGCTAATACAGCACCCTTGGTGACCAGGCCTGAGAACCCAGAACATTCTGCATGTTCAGATCCATGGATGGGGCATAGCTACAGAAATAGCGAAAGTGAACACGAAGCCCTGGGAGCCTCAAGCAGAAGGTGTCTTGACAAGGAGGAGGTGATAGGTTCTGGGGACAAGAGTGCCCCAGGGACTCCTGGAAAAGAGACTGGTGACCAGGAACTCTCTTCTCCAGCTGCAGCTGAATATCAAGAAATCTACACTGAATTAGGCAAAGTCACATCTCTTCCAGCTACTTGTGGTCCTGAAACAAGTGAACCAAAGAATGTTTTAGGGCTTGAGGGGCCTTATGACCTAGGTTACACAAACAGAGATGATTCACCAACAGAGATGTCTACAAATGAGCTTCAGGCAAAGGAGACCTACGAAGAGCCCCTCATGGATCACAGAGATTCAGGGGAAACTATGGAGGTGCCAGGTAAGATGAATTTAACAAAAAATGTATCTTCATCTGAGATGGATCTTGAGGAAATAGAAGAATGTAACATTCCAGAGTCAGAAAGAATGAGTGAAGAGCCACCTCGTGAGTCTCCTCAAAGCCTTGTTTTGGAAAGCCTTGTTTGGAAAGACTCTGCAGACAGTGGAATACAGGACAATTACACAAGTTCTGAGATAACTAAGACTCTTGAAGTGAAAAGTACTGAAAATAGCCTTCCAGCAGCCAGTTCCTCTGGGAGCTATGGCAAAGACAGTCTTTCCAGTGATGACTACACACACTCAAGTGCCTCGAGTCCTGATCTAGATGATTCTTCAGCTGCATTGTCCTCCTGGGGTCAGAGACCCAGTATTGAGCATCAGAAAGAGAATCAAGATGAATGGAGAGAACAGAATCACCAACAACCTGAAGTAACAACCCCTGATGACCACGTAGGAGTAACTACTGAAATGAAGACATTAGAGAAAAACAGGATGGATGAGTTTGAAAAGAATATTGAACAAAAACTTCCTAAATTTTTAGAGATTTGGAATGATTCCATCGATGGTGATTCTTTATCCTCCTTATCAAGCCCTGAAACAGGCAAATATTTTGACTACACAGGTGCATACCAGGATAGAAATCTAGCAGTTAGTCACGAGGAGAACAATAAAACCATTGTTCCTGCAACTGGGCAGCCGGAGGATGCCAAGGTCATTTCAACAAATTTGGGCTCAGATGATAACAGTGCAGGAAATGAAGAGTCAGTAGAGAAAGAGACCCATCTGGTCCCTTGTCAAGTGACTCAGAGTAAATCCAGAGCTTCGGATGAATTGAGTGAGTCTAAATTCTTGGCCATGGCAGAACCCAACACTGAGGAGTTTTCTGATTATGTAGATGATACGGACCTAGCCGAGAATGAGAATAAGTCACACACCCTGTGTGACAGTCAAAGCAGCTCTGAGCACTGGAATTTCTCACCGCTCACAGAGACTGAAATTCAGATCACAGCAGAGGACAAGGAGACACCACCTTCTCCAGAAGCGGGGAAGGCGAGAGATGAAATATGGCAGGTATCTCCCAAAACTGAGCCAAAGAATGAAGCTCATTCTAAACTGGAAATTCTTGGCTTCTCAGCTGAGAGCAGTGAGTGGTGGGAAGCTCCTCTGCAGGAAGGGAGGCCCATGGAGAGTGCATTTCAGGGGGTACTGTCTAACTCAAGTGATGCTTTGGCGGGGATTTCTTCAGTGTATCAAAGTGTGGGTCCATGGGGAGTACCCGCTCAGGGTGATGCTGAGTCCATGCAAACACACTGCACTGATCCTTTCAGTGACGAACTCCGGCCACCCTTTCTGGGCAGTAATGAGGGCAACTCCCATGGGCAACTTTGGAACATCCAACCAAGGCAGCCAGATCCAGACACTGACCAGTTTACCCAGCTTGTAATACTAAACCAAATTAAAGAAAAAGACCCCAGAGAGCAAACTTTTATGTCTTTAGCTGGTCATGAGCTTCCTTTTGAGACACCCACTCAAGAGCAGTGTCAGGATAACATGCTGTCTGTCTGGGCTCGACCGGATCCAGCGGTTACTCCCTCAGATGAAACGGGATACGTCACAGCTAATGTCTCAGCTGAGTGTCAGGAAGTGAACTGGTGGGAACCAGAAAAATCATACCTTACTGAAACAACACATTCAAGCACTCCCACCGAAAATTTACCCACCATCCATTCTCCCAGCCAACTGATAAGGAAGTCAGTCTCTGCATGGGATGGCTCCAACCCTAATGAGGACACCCAAGACGCCTTCACCCCCGATATTTTACATGGCAACTTCCAAGAGGGCGGGCAGCTGCCCTCAGCCTCCCCTGACTTGTGGGTGGATGTGAAGCAGCCCTTCAGTCTGAAGGCAGAGGGCGAGAATCCAGACATACTCACTCACTGTGACCATGACAGCATTTCTCAGGCTTCCAGCAGCCCCGATGTATGTCATGATTCTGAAGCAAAGCAAGAGGCTGAGCAACACAGCAATGCTCGAGTCAGACCTGCAGTGGAATCCAGTGAGTTTTATCTCACTGAGTCAGAGATAAGTGAAGACCTGACTCAGGACCCTGGACAGGAATCTGTCCTATACGATTCAGGACTCTCTGCTGGAAACGTAATTCCACTGCCTCTAGGTACTAATCAGTCGAACATAAATGGCTCATCTCAGCCTGCATCTTCTATAGATTCTCCCGAGCATTCTGAAATGAACGATGAAAACCATGCAAGTTTAGAAGCATCAAAGGAAGAGCCCATAACAGATACAGCACCAGTTCTGGAACCCACTGACAGGACCATCCAAAGAGTTGAAAATGTGGAAACTCGTATTTTGGTCACTCACCAGGAGCCAACTACAGAAGGAAACTGCTCCTGGGTACCAGAGGACGTTTCTCCTGAAAGTTATACAGGCTCAAGGGCTTTGCTTCACGGTGAGACGCCCTTTGCTCCCGAGACTCCCACCACTGCTGTGGCTGATACCTGTTTGGATGTAAGCGAAGCTGCCTTGGACCATAGTTTCAGTGACACTTCAGGTCTTAACACTTCCACAGGTACCATAGAAGATGTAAGTAAACTGACACTGTCAGAAGGCCAACCTGAAACACCAGTTGATGGAGATGCTGGGAAACAAGATATCTGTTCATCTGAAGCCTCATGGGGGGAATTTGAGTATGACGTCATGGGCCAGAACATTGATGAAGAGGTAATGAAAGAGCCTGGGCATTTCTTCTACAGTGCTGACCCTCCCTTAGAAGGCAATGGTCAGAAGCAATCAGTGGCACCCTACACACCTCCCTTTGACCTGTCCTGTTTCACAGAGGCACGCCCTGGTGCCCAGACAACAGAGGAAGCTGGGTCCCCAGAGGATTTATCTCTGGGAAGTGAAGCAGCAGAGATGTTGCTTTCTGCTCTTCCTGATCAAAGTGAGGGAAACCACATGGAGACCGAAAGCAGACAGCCTGCACACCAGCTGGTTGCACTGCATATTCATGAAGACCCGGTTTCTTTGGCTGCAGGAGAAGCCAGCTCCAACTTTGAGTCATCTCCATCAAACATTGACTGGGAAGTGGACTCAGATGCTTCTGACTCACCAGCAGGTGGAGACACGAGACCACCAAATGGTAAGAAACATCTCATCCCATATCCAAGAAACTGCTGTTTGAAATAAAGCAATGCGATTGTAAATCATACTCTTTCTACCAGTGTAGGTAAAGAGAAACCAGATTTGCAATGCACCATAATCAAGTTTTATATAATAGCAGTAGAATCTAGTGTTTACAAAATAATACCGATCTCTGATCTTGCAAGAGAAAATGAAAACAGTTCTACAAAACCACGGTGTTTCTTAAATGATCTCTTTTTAGATAATCATTTGTAAAGATGACAAATCACACAATGTGTTAATTAAATCTCTCCTTATTTGCACGTTCCACTTCTAGGTGCCAACAAGAGAATTTTAGAATTAGAAGAAGAAAAAATAACCCCTGCCAAAGAGCTGAAGGAGATAAAATCAGAATATAAAGAAGAAAGATGGACAAGAAAGAATGAAGATCATCATGCAATACAGATGGATTATATTCTAGTAGGCCATGAACAAAATTCACCCTTGATGCCAGAGGCCTGTGAAGCAGGAGACAGCGTGCCCCAGTTAGAAGCAACATCTGTAGGTTCAGAAGAAACAGACCTGCCAGGAACTCAGGTAGTAAGCTACCCAGATATGTGTCAGCCTGCCTCTTTAAATGAAAGCAAAGATTGCTCTGTAGAGAGATTCAAAGATGATAAGAGATTATCTCTTGAAAGTTCTGTCCAAGACCAGAATTGGATGGTCTTGAGCTGTGGTGAGGGTAATCATCCATCACCGGATGCCAAGGATGCAGGGACTGGATGGGCTGACAAGACTGTGGAGCCATTTTCTGATCCACGCATGATCCAAGATTCCCAGGTGGGAGAAATGAAGCCTCTAGAGTCTTTAGCACTAGAGCAGGTCTCTGGTCTGAGCAGCCAATCACAGAAGATAAACAGCCGAGGCAGGGCTGACCTGGAAACAGTTTTGTTGCCAACTGTCACCCATGACAATGAATGGGAAATGCTTTCACCACAGCCATCTCACACAAACAGGATCTCTGAAAGGGAGATGGAGGAGGAGACAGAGTTTCTTGAGCCTGGAACCAGGAAAGTAAAACCAAATGGGTAAGCAAAGTGCTAAATTTATGATTTTTTCTAAAAACCATTTAATTTAGCAATCAGGGAAATGGTAAAGGGTCATGGGATATGATAAATACCCAGGTGATAGGATCTTTGCTTATGTATTTATTGCAAAGCATATCCCTAGTAAAAGCAGCTGGCAAAAACTTGTAATGAAAATGATAACTGTGTACTCTTTCAGCCATGAAAGGCCTTACATACAGAGGTGATGCCTTCTCTCCTGCCCCCCGTTTCTCGCACTTCAATACCTGTGTGATCTGAAACAGGCAGTTGGAAAGAGGATAGAGCAGTGCTGACATTTATTCAGCACCTACTGTGCGTAGGGTGTTTGCACACAGCATCTGATTATATACTTAATGCTAGTGGAGGAGAGAAGGGAGGGGGCCCTTGAGGCTCAGAATGTTTTTATAACTATTTTATAACTGGATCTAAAGTAACTAGAGGGAACTCTGGGCTTCAAAGATTCCTGCCTTGAAAGCCCTTACCTTGGTGGCTGGCACACTATGTTCCAGGAAAGGCACTTTCTGGGTTTTTTGTTAGCACTTAACTTTCTAGTAGAGATAAGAGGACAGCAGATTTGAAATGCTAATGTGAAATATTCATTCTGTCATGAGCTGAGAAGTTAGCAAACAGTCATCAAATCCATGGTGCCTTTATTCATTCCTTCGTGTGTGTTTTGGAACTGTACTCTTGCTATGTTCCTGGGTAGTGACAGGCAACAGGACCTTGCTGCTGCCTTAGAAAGTTTAGGCACTGCTGAAAATGTTCAGTGTTTTCACTTCTTTCCTGCCTCCTTCCAGAGGCAAAAGGGCAAATAGAGAAATGTAAATTAAGCTAAAAGGGGAGATGATGTTCTCTGTTAAAAATGCACTGGAGCACAGATGTCTTTCCCTCCCTCGTGTAGGGGCGTAGTGGACTGCACACACCGTGTGCTCAGTGGGAGACGAAAGGGCTGGATTCCAGCCTGGCTCCACACCCCTAAGGTTACATAGTTCAGGATTAGCCCCAGGCTTAGGTTTCTTCAGCCATGAAATCAGTAGGTGGGGCTAGACGTTCTCACGCCTTCCTTCAAATGTTAGGAACTTGATTTGGGTGGAAACAGGATGTGTCCAAGGTAACTGACATTCACAAATTATATTTCTAGAGGTAAGGACCAAAGAAAACAGAAGTTACAGCACAGCCTATTGAGGGTTACTGCAGTGCCATAGAGGTTAAAAGCTTTACCATTTTCAAGCACAGCTTCAGAAACACAGACATTTTCAGTTGGCCTAATCTTTCTTCTTCCTGTCAAGCTATTTCCTTCCATAGAGACCCCAGATCCATTATCAGAAGGAAGGCAACAGATGGGTCCCAGCAGCCCTTCTGGCACTGTTATAGACCGAGCTGAGATCTCAGCAGCCATCAGTTGGCTGAGCTGTTGTTTGGCTTCTTGTCTGCATTTCGAACATGCTCCTGAAAACCAACAGCTGACAGTCCTCCTTCAGTTGTGCCACCAGCACCTTTTCTTTCTCCATGATATTGCTAGTACTTTTTGCATAATTTACTCTGAATGTATCTGAAAAATTTCCCTGTTTGCTAATTTTGGGAATGATATAGGATTGTCCAAAACAGTAGGTCTCTAAGTGGGACATCAGTACCTCCTGATAGCTTGTCAGAAATGCAAATAACCACACATACATGCCACTTTCCTCTAGCATCAGAAAGTCTGCGGTGTGGCCAGCTTGACTAGCGCAGTTCCTCCCAGGTGCTTGCATAGACCCTTCAGCTTGAAAGCTCCTGCTCTAAATCATATTCCTGGCCTTCAAAAACTTTGACGTGTAGGCATTGGATAGAAGTGAAAAGGTGGATAATAGTCAAGATAGTTTATGAATTAAATATAAGTAGCTAACAAATTATGGGCATTTGCTAGTAGACCAGCTCCTATATACTCTACCTACACGATCTCACTTGACTCAGGCAACAGTGTGAGGTGAGATTATATGAGGCAAAGAATAATAGGAGATGTTGCTTAGGGTGCCTATGTGGAGCTAGTACCAGGGATGACTCATTACCCAACAGCAAGAGGCAGAGTTCCCTGGTCCCTTGAGGGCCCATGAGAATGTATTTTCTTTTAAAGTCAAAAGAAACAAATGATTATACTTCTCCATTATATGTCTTTATATCACAAATAGTTCTAAATGAAATTTAAAAAATTTTAAGGAAAGAAGGGACTCAAGACTTTAGGAAGACCCACAGAAAGCCCCAGTGCAGCTAAGGAATACAAGAGGAGTTGATGAATAATCTGGAAAGGCAAAAAAGGTGGCTAAGAAGCTGGCCAAGGCCAAAGAACTGGGAAGAATAAGGTGACAGAAACTGTGGCGACCCAAAGGTAACCACAGAAGCAATACAGTGAGACATTCAGAGCAAGGGAGCGAGAATCCACGTGATTATAAGGTGGGTAAGTGTGAACTCTGGAGGGCCGGCCAGCAGCCTGAAAATGCAGGCAAGAGTCACCATTGGGTGGAGTCCAGATTCTCCGGACAGCGGACTGGGGACTCACAGGATTCTGTCTACCTTGAAGTCTTAAGCAGAATTCTTTTTTTTTTTTTTTAAGAGAAAAAAAATGATAAAAATGTTCAAAGCAAGGTAATAGGAGAGTAACAATGGTTAATACATTGCCTATTGTTTTCTTCAAAGTAGTTTTGGGCAAAATTGTCCATGAAAATTTAGACTTCCCCTTGAAGGCTTTGGGCTGACTGGGTGAGGCTTTTGCCCTCACTGTGGGAGGTAATTCGCTTTGTTCAGAGTCTGCTGATTTTGATGGTAATCACTTCTAAAAAGGCTCTTTACAGCAACATCTAGGCTGGTCTTTGACCTGAGAAACACAGGCTCACTAAGTTGGCCAGTGATTTTAACATTAACCATCACAGCTGCAACTGTATAGTAAGGAATCATTCAGCCATTAAAAACTTCATACTCGCCATCCAAATTATATCTGACTGTGACAGAGTATACACAAATGCACTGGGTTTCTCTAGGTGCAGGAGACAGGTATGCATGGTAATGAAAGGAAATCATTCCCAAGAGGATGGAGAAAGCTGGCAATCCTTGTGTCTCCTTCTTTGGTGAGAATGCAGCTATGAGCAGTAGCTGTCATCATGGTACTTCTAAAATAAGGTGCTGTACTTAGAAGTACCCTGGCCCTCCTGTTTGCTGACTTTGTATCCTCGCTGTGAGTCGAGTTGTTCAGTATCCCTAAAATAAAAATGACCTTCAAAACAATGTATTTCACATTCTACACAATCTTCTATAGTGACCTCTGAGTACTCTCCTTCTAGATTTGTAACTCCGTATTCTTTCCGTCTCATAGGATATGGAAGAGAGCTCATCTTTCACTACATGAGTGACACCATTAGATCTTTTGGTGTTTTTCACGAGAGCTTCTAAAACGAGGCCTTTTCTGATGTATCTCTGGGGAGTTAGTCCATGTCTTATCCTATGGATGTCAAAAATGAAAATCAGATAAAGATATAATTCTCAAACCTTTCCTGTCACTGCTGCATGGTGGAAACTCTGAAAAGGATGCACTGTTTGAGCACAGGTAGTCTTTCTGCATCTTGTTTTGAGAGCCTGTATTCCAGCTCCAAATATTATTGACCCTTGCTCAGATGTGAGCTGGTATTCTATAAACTCCGTCTTCCTTTTGCTTATCCACTATCTTTTGGCTTTTCCCTAAGCTGAACATGAAAGACTAACCTTGGCACTAACTCTGTGTTAACTTATTTTAGAGTTGGTCACTCGGTGTACTGTGTCATGTGAGTTGGTAGTGACAGTGGCAATACTGTCTCACTGAAAATCCTATAAAACTGGGTGAGAAGGCACGAGCCTATAAAGCCAGGTGTTCAGAAGACTGAGGCAAAAGAATTCCAAGTTTCAGGCTAGCCTGGGCAAGCTGGTGAAATCCTGCTTCAGAAAGGTCTGGGAATGTAGCTTGGTGGTAGCATCCCTGTCTGGCATGATGGAACAAAATCCAAGTTAATTTCTTCCTTTCTCTCTTTCTCTTTTCCCCTCTCCTCCACTTTATATCTCCACGTTTCTGGTAGCCCTGCCCAGAGCAGGTTCTCAATAAGGGCTTCCAGATGAATGAATATTTTATTTTCTCTGGTTTACCTAATTGACACTTGAGATAGACAGGAAAAGACTTACTATCCCCACCCCAATCTCCAGTCCTATAAGCAAAATAACTTCACGAGTAAACTGCTAACATCATCCAGAAATGAGCAGGTGAAGTTGCCGCTTAAATTGACACCTTCTCACGTCTAGCCTGGCAGTGAACTGCAGCTGCTGAAACAGACATTTCTCCTGAAACCTCTGTAGACTGATAAATTTATCCCTGTTCTCCCACTGTCCCCTTGAAAGGCATGTAAAGTTGAATGAATAGCCCAAGTTCCCAATGAGATACTCTGCAAATGACGGAACCAGTACTTGCTTTTGATTCTGCTTTCCACAATCTCAGAGCTGTGGAGCTCTTTGGAGACCCGAGCACCTATTGCCATCCGCTGTGAACTGCTGACAGCTCCTGCCACCATGACAGTGGCTGCTTCCCAGCTGCAGTGTGTGGGACCAGCTCAAGTGGCCTGAGGCAAATGAGAAAATCAGAGAAATATTTGTATGTCTGGTATTCTGTGGTGAGGGATTGGATAGCAAGATACAGGCTGAGTGCCAAAATGAGGTGGCACCACTCAGCTGTCCCCTGGGAGGGACGTCTGCAGGGGAACCTGTCCATTCTGCACTGGCTTCTGGTTTAAGGTGGATTCAAGGTACATCTCCAACTGGAACCTTATAGTGTCAGAATTGGTGGCAGACTTCTGTCAGGCAAAAGCCCTCCATGAAAATTGGTGGTATTTGAGGAAGACAAGCAATCAGCACTCACGCCTTTTAAAGCAAGGTGTATTTAAAGCAAGGTGTATTTAAAAGCAGGGGCCCAGCAAGAGAAAGATGACACA